GGTGACGTTGCGGGCCGCGGCGCCCGGGGCCTCCTGGGAGCTGTAGTTTGACACTAAGGACTCAGCGCCCGGCTCCAGCCCTTCCTGGGCTGTGTACCAGTTCTGGGCCTCCCTCCCCGGGGGTCACGAACCGCACCGTCTGCTCAGTAAATGGCAACTATAGCCAGGGATTTAGCTCGGTGGTTCCGCCGCCCTCCTCGCAAGCGCAAGGACCTGAGTTCGATCCCTGGCACCAAAAACATAAATAAAAAAATAAAATGGGAACTCTGGGAGAAAAATGCTAGATAGGAAGGCCCTCGTATAAAGTACACAGATCAAACTCTACTTCATTCCTTCTCTGAGGTCCCGTCCTGCCAGCTGTAGGTTGGGGACCTAGACTGCCCATTTCAAGCCCCAGTGTGGCCCCTTAATACCTGAGGCAGGTTAAGGAATGGCTTAGTGCTTTAATTTTGATACTGATGAGAATAGACAGTATTAAATTTAGAGTTACGTGGGTCACAGTGAATTGACATATGGAGAGTGCCCAGAACCGTGCCAGGCATGGAAGCAGCATTGCTTGGGTGTCAGGTGTTATCATTAATGCCAGCCTGTAGTGAATTCGAGTCACCCTGACTGAGTGGCTTTTCTGTGCCGGCAGAGAGCGGATGGTGAACTCCATGCAGACCATCCTCCCACCCTGAGGAGGAAGACCATTTGGTGTGACCCACTGTGAGAGGCCTCGGGCTGTGGAGGTCCCGGGGAAGGCCTGGTGACCTGGTACCGGCTGCGGCAAGAGTAGGACTTGGCCAGGCAAGGGAGCTGGAGCAGGAGAGTGTGGCCAGCTAGAGAGCAGCCTGGATGCTCTGGGAATGTGGCTGGAATTCAATGAGAGGAGCTGAATGTGTGGCCAGAAGCCCAGTAAAGGATGAGTTAGGAAGCCCTGCAAGTTCAGACTGTGGGCCCTGCTCCTTAGAACCCTCTGATTGTACTGACTGCCAGCAAGGAGGATGGTGGAACGAAAAGCAGAGAGACCAGTGAAAAAAACAATGGAATACACTTCTTTCTCTTCTCTCTGCTCCTTCTTTCTTCCTCCTCTGACTCTCTCCCTCCCTATCCCTCTCTGCTTCCCTTTCCCTCCATTATTGGATTTTCATTACACTAGCTATAGAGTTTATCAAATATTTAATTTTTTTAAAAAAATTTGGTACCAGGGATTGAACTCAGTGCCTTGCACTTTCGAGGCAGGCATGGCACCACTGAGCTAATTCCCTGGTCCTCAAATATTTACATTTTTTAAAAGAAAAGTAAGGGCCAGGGATTTAGCTCAGTTTCTACCGTCTGCCTTGCAAGTGCAAGGACCCAAGTTCAATCCCTGGTACAAAAAAAAAAGTAAACTGGACTTAGCAGTGCATGCCCATGATCCTCAGGCTCTGGGAGGCTGAGGCAGGAGGATCCATAGCCCAGCCTGAGTAATTTAGTAATTTAAGGAGACCCTGTCTCAAAACAATAAAAATAAAAAGGGGAATGGAAATGTAGCCTAATGAGATTCAATCCTGGTACCATTAAGTAGGGGCATCTTTGGAGGCTGTATTTATTCATTTATTTATTTTTGCAGTAGTGAGGTTGAACTCAGGATCTTGCCCTTAGGAGGAAGGCGCGGCACCAGTGAGCTAAATCCTGGGCCCTGTTTTCTTTTGTGTTTTTGAGACAGGGTGTGTAGTTCAGATTGGCCTTGAACTCACTAAGTAGTTCAGGCTGGTTTTGAACTGGTTGTAATCCTCCTGTCTCAGACTCCGGGATGTTGAGACAACAAGTGAGCGCCACCACACCCTGGCTTGGAGGCTGTTTTTTAGCGGGAGACGGGAGCCTGGTCATCCGGGCTGGCCTGTCTGAGGATCTGGGAGAATGTCCACACAGATCTTGGGAGAAGCACTCCCTGAATTCCCGGGCTTCTTCCTGGCACACCCGCACTGTTCCTACCCCTTCTTCCCCAACTTCCTGGCAACATCCTGGAGTAAAGCCAGGAGTCGCTGGCTCTGGAGATAGGCACAGTTTCGGCACCAGGCAAGAGGGAAAGAAGGGGGCCCCGGAAAGGGAGGGCAGCCTGCGCCAGGTGCAGAAGACGCAGAGTGCTTTTTCTGCGCCAGAACTCTGGGCCCACGTGTCCGCTGCGTGGGCAAAGCCCAGCCCTCTGATATCCGCCTCACCCGGGTTGACCCGGCGCGCTGGGCCAGGGGCTCAGCCTGAACTCGCTGCTGCCCCCGGCGGTGGAGATGGGCTGTGCGCCACATTAGTCTGCTTAGAGCCCTATGGATAGGGAGTTTGGCGGTGGGCAGGCATTTTAGGCGCATGGATTTCATGTGTATAATTATTCTCTGAGATAGATGCTATTTTTCTCTTCATTTTACAGATGCAAGAATGGAAGCCTAAGGAGGGGATAGTTGAGCACGTCTGTAACGCCAGTGCTTCTATCCTGCTACAGCCTCCAAGAGTGCTGGGATTACACATATGCACCATCACATTAAGGGTTCAGTTCTGAGTGTGTTGGATCTAACAGGCCTTTGAGACATCCAGATGATGACCCAGGATGAGTTTCTAACAACAGTTGATTCCAGGAGAGATCTGGACTTGGGTCAGAACTTGGAAGTCATGACCAACGGGTAGTAAGAGGGGACAAAGGAAGAGATAATGTTGTCCACTGAGGCTGTTTGTGTTTTCCAAAGATGGTCCACCCATAGGAACTTCTTACAATATAATTTTGATACTTCTTGCATCAAGACACGGGCATCAACCAGCCGTGTGGTACATGCCTTTAATCTCAGCACTACCAGCACTTCAGAAAGCTGAGGCTGCAGGACTGCAATTTGGAGGCCAGCCTGAGCAATTTAGTGAGATCTTGTCTCAAAAACAAAATAAAAGGATGGTGGAGCTATAGTTCAGTGATAGGGTGTCTGCCCACCATGTGTAAGCTCCAGGTTTCAATCTTCTGTATTGAAAAAAGAACCTAAATAAAATTTATCTTCCCAAATTTTCAATACATAAAAGCTATGAAAAAGGGATAATACTGTTATTGTTCCAACCATTTATTTTTGTGATTTGCTGAATAGTGATGCCACCAGTGATCACTAATTTGTAGTCTCTTCCTACACTGCACTAGGCTGAAGTGCCCTAACAGGATGAAGCAGAAATGGTGTATGACTTCAAAGGTTAAGTCATAAAGGCACTGTGGCTTCTGTTTTGTTCCCTGTTAGATCACTCGTGCTAGGGGAAGCCAGCAATAGATAACAGGAACTTCCTAGGAGACTGGACAGAGGAGAGAGAGAGAGAGAGAGAGATGAAAAACAGGGATAAATCTTAGTCCTCTGTATTAGCTTCCAGTTACTGTTAAAACAAACTACCACAAATGTAGTGGGTTACAATTATACAAATTAATTTTCTTACAATCCTATAGTAGTTCAAAGTCTGCTACAAATTTCACTGGGCTAAAATAAAGATATCAGTAGTTCCTTTCTGGGGCCTCTCAGGAAGCCATTTCCTTGCTGTTTCCTGCTTCTAGAAGGCACCAACATTCAGTAGCTTGTGGCTTCTGTGTCTTTCTGCTATAAAAGTGGTATCTCTCTTCTGCTACCCTCTTTCACTTTAAGGACTCTTGTAATTACATGTAGGATCATCCATCACTTCAGGATAATACCACTTTTTAAATCAGTAGATTAGCAATTTTAATTCTATCTGCAACTTTAATTCCCCAACAGTTACGTGTTCCAGGGATTAACATAAAACATTCATGGATGTTTTGGGAGGCCCTTATTCCTCCTACCACTTCCTGGAATAAGAGAAATAGATCTGAGAGTAGCTATTGAGGGAAGGCCTGCGGGAGCCCGCAGAAAAGAAAGCTCACCTGAGCAGAGCGAGTGCAGCCATGAGTAATGCTACTGGAGGTCAAGCAAGATGGGAGCTGAAAAATAATCGCTGGAGTTAGCATCTTGTCAGAGGGTGTCTGGAAGTAGAAGCTACTTTATGAAACAGGCAACAAGGAAGAAGTGAGATGCAGAGAACAGGAATGTAAAATTTACCTCAAACCTTGGCTGGGAAGGAGCGGATGCGGATAATAGCTGGGAGCTGGCGAGGTCCTCCTGGCCGAGGGAGACTTGTTGCTGTTTCTAAAACAAAAAGAAACAAGTTTCCGTGCAGATGGGAAGGACGGAGAGTTTGAAGGTACAGAAGAGACGGGTCTTCAGCAGACGGAGTTGTGTGTGAAGGGGAGCTCGAAAAGGAGGGACTGTTGGGTTGATGTAAACTCAAGTTTTCCCACAGGGCGCCACAAACGTACAGAGGTTGGGAAACTGTAAAAGGTGTGGCCACGGTGACGGAATTTTAGGGAGAGAAAAACCTCACCTGCTGAAAGCACTGGTGAGGCGGGAAGAAGTGTCTGAGTACCCAACCGGGAGGACAGAAGGTCGGAGCCCCAGCGGTGTCCGAAACAGTCATTCAGGGCAAATGCCCGTTTCCTGAATCGGATCTAGGTGCTAATACTTAGAACAGGGCTGGAAAGAGAAAGCGGTAACTACTGTTACTCACGTTACTATTACTCCCTTCTCTGATTCCTCGCAGCCTCTCTGACTACAATTCCCGTCAGGCCTGCGGCCCTGGAGTCTCAGCCCCAGCGTTCCTCGCTGTTTGCCTGCTCGCGGAGGGGTCAACTGTGTGCCGAGAATACCCAATAGAATCAGAGAGTACGAGCCTGGGCCGGCCAATCACCAAGCTGGCAGGGCAATGAGGGCGGGACCCACCTGCGACGCGTTCTCCGCCACCTGGCACCTGGGGCGGGGCCTGCAGATATGGGCTCCACCTGGAAGAATCCCGGGTGGGTGCGGCTCGCGCTTTGCGTTGCGGGCCTGGTGCTGTCTTTTTACGCGCTACACGTGAAGGCGGCGCGCGCCCGCGACCGGGACTACCGCGCGCTCTGCGACGTGGGCACTGCCATCAGCTGTTCTCGCGTCTTCTCCTCCAGGTGCGCGCGGAAGTGGAAAGCCTGGGGCTTTGGGGACCAGGTGTAGACGGCGGCCAGGTTGCCAGATGATTTTGGAGTCTGAGATCAAACTGCTCGGGGAACGTACACTCTGACGGTGGACGGCTTGAGATGGTGTGCGCCAGAGCTAGGCCACACAGACTGGTTTTCCAGATGCATGTCGGGCAGGGGGCAAAGATTCTGGGTAATCACACGTGGACCCGGAAGCCGAGGAATAACATTGATCAGAAAGGGGAAGGTGGGGTCAGCATAGAGACTGATGATGGGCCCAGGATGACGCGCACAGGGGGAGGTGGGATATGGGCAAAGCCTATGTCCGAGGACGAGGTAGCTAGGTCTGAGTGAGCCTGTGAGTCAGGGGCCTAGTGATTAGCGAAATGAAGGACAAAGGAGGCCGGGAATGGTTTAGGAGCTGGAGACTTGTACGTTCAGGGCAAGGAGAATGTGTCTCAGGTTTCCCAGTGTGGTTAACTGCAAAACCTGGCCAGCCATTAGGCTAGCTTTGAGAACGAAAGTATTTTTGAGTGCAGGGTGTGGTGGTACACGCCTGTAATCCTAGCACTGGGAAGGCTGAGGCAAGAGGATTGCTGCAAGTTCCAGGCCAGTCCCTACCACACAGTGAGTTCAAGGCCAGCCGGAACTATAGAGTGAGACCTTGTCTCAGGGGAAAAAAAAAAGAAAAGAAAAGAAGGAAAGAAGGAAGAATTTTTTAAAGTCTAGGGTGGAAAGGGGAGCCTATGGAGGAGCCATAGCCAGGCCTGGTCTGGAAGGAGGGGCATGACATGGAATCCTGATTAAACGCAGGTTCAGAGGGCAGGAGTTAGTGACCCTTGGACACCAGGGGTGGGCAGAAAACGGAGAAGGAGGACAGCCCTGGTGGCTTCTCAGGTCACCCTTCCAGTTCACACTGCTAACTTGGTTTCGATCTCCACCATCAGGTGGGGCCGAGGCTTCGGGCTGGTGGAGCATGTGCTGGGAGCAGACAGCATCCTCAATCAATCCAACAGCATATTTGGGTGCATTTTTTACTCGCTACAACTGCTGTTAGGTGAGTGGCTCCACCTTTCATAACTGTCCTTTCTCTCAGCCAGCTCAGCCCCAACCCAAGCAGTCTTTGTGACCCAGATGATTTCTGGCCAGCTGCTCCTCAGCAAGCATCGTCAGGCATGTGGTAGGGAGGGAACTAGGACTCTTCCAGTTGGTTTAGGTACTGTCAGAGGCTGTAGGGCCCTTAAGGACTTTGTATGATCCCAGATCCCAGTTAGGAGGAGAAACTTAGAATGTTACTTTTTTTTTTGACTGGGGACTGAACCCAGAGCCTTTGTGCTAGCCCTTTTTTTAAATGTTGAAGCAGTGTCTCCCTAAGTCACTAATTTGCCCAGGCTGGGTTCAAACTTGGATCCTCCTGCCTCAGCCTCCCAGAGTGCTGGGATTACAGGCATGAGCCACCAGACACAGCTCAGATATTCTTTTTTTTTTTTTTTGGTACTGGGGATCAAACTCAGGTCCTTGCACTTTCAAAGCAGGCAGCGGAACTACTGAGCTAAATCCCTGGCCCTTTTCTCTTTCTTTTTGAGACAGGGTCTTGCTATGTAGTTCATACTGGCCTTGAACTCTCACTGTGTAACCTAGGCTGGCCTCAAACTCAGAGTGATCCTTCTGCCTCAGCCTCCCAAGTGCTAGAATTATAGACATGCACTGCCACACCTAGCAGAATTCCTCTTTGAGGAAAATCTAAAGGTGACTTCATTTCATGTAGAGCTTAGCAGGCAGTTTCATTATTTGGGTCCCAGAGGTCACTGAACAGATGGGGGAAGGTCTTAGAGTAGGCCTCTCAGTTTTCTCACCAGCCCCTGTATCTGGGCAGCACAGGAAGTCATGCATGCTCTAAAGATGGCCATTCCTGACTGCTTTTTTCTTTGCAGGTAGCCTGCAAGGACGCTGGGCCTCTATCCTGCTGGTGCTGAGTTCCCTGGTGTCCCTTGCTGGTTCTATCTACTTAGCCTGGATCCTGTTCTTCGTGCTCTATGATTTCTGTATTGTTTGCATCACCACCTATGCTGTTAATGTGGGCCTAATGTGGCTTAGCTTCCGAGGAGTCCAGGAACCCCAGGGCAAGGACAAGCGGCACTGAGGCCTCACCCCAAACCAGGATGACCGCATCTACTTTGCTTTGGCCCATAACTCTTGCCCAACCAGGCCATGTCTGGGTACCTCGAAGGCCCTGCATTCTCCCCTACCCCATCCATAATCACACACAGCAAAATGGACCAAATGTGCCTCTAGCTCTTTCTCCAAGGGCTGGCTTGGGAGGGAAGGTTCTAAGCAATAAAATTTCCTAAGTAAGTTGGCCAAGTCTGAACCGACTATCTTTCAGAGCCCTCATGTTGGTTTTCTCCGGTGCTTCCTTCCCTGGAACTCTGAAGGATGTGAGTCAGAGGGAGAGTGGAGGGCCTGCCCAGGAAGGGTGTTCATCATTAGTCTTACACCAGCACTCCCACATGTAGTCAGCAAGGCCTGGGGCGCTGTCAGCTCCCATCCCCAGAAAATAGGCTGGTGGCTGGTCCCTGCTTCCTACAGAGCGTGTAGAGTCAGCAAGGCCTGAGGCACTGTCAGCTCCCACCCCTAGAAAACAGGCTGGCGGCTGGTCCCTGCTTCCTACGGAGCCAGCCCTTTCCTGGGAGTCACACATGCACCTGCAAGGGCACTTTGCCCTTCTGGCTCCGTTCAGGCTGGCTGGGAGCTTCTTCCTGGAAATTTAACCCTCCAGCTGCCTTATCTACCAATCCAAGCCTGTCTTGGTAAACCTGAAGGGCAAGGGTCAGGTTATGTTTTTGTTTTTGTTTTTTCGGCACTGGGGATTAAACTCAGGATCTTGTGCTTGTGAGGAGGCAAGGTGCCACTGAGCTAAATCCCGGCCCTTAGGTTGTGTTTTGTTTCTCCTAATATGTACTGAGGACTTAGCCATGAGCTAAGCACTGTTTTAAAAATTTATGTTAACATGTGTTTGTTTTTCCTAATATGTACTGAGGACTTAGCCACGAGCTAAGCACTGTTTTAAGAATTTATGTTAATATATGTAAATGAATTAATCTTTGTCATGATTATATGAGCTAAGTAATTTTAGTATCCCTGTATTAGTAAGGAATTGGAGGTAGAGAGAGGCTAATTTACCTGATATCATATCTAGTGCTGGAAAGGGGTTAGGAGATCTGATTTTTTTTTTTCCTTCAGTGTAGGGGCTTACACATGACACTGAAAAAAAGGCAAGCATTCTGCCACTAAGCGGCCCCCAGCCCCATATATTAGAATTCAAGTTTGTGTGGTAACTATTCACAGCTGCATCTGGGTTAGGATCAGGGTCCCTGAACAGTCTGAGCTGGTCTGAATTATGATAATATATTATTTTCTCAGAAAGAGAAAAATGAGGGCTGGGGATTTAGCTCAGTGGTTCCACTGCCTGCCTTGCAAGCACAAGGACCCCAGTTCGATCCCCAGTACCAATAAATAAATAAATAATAATAAAGTTAAGGGCCAGGGATTTGGCTCAGTGGTTCTGCCTGCCTTGCAAGCACAAGGACCAGAGTTTGATCAACCCTGGTACCCAAAAGAAAAATGATTCTGACAGTCTCCCATTTTTAAGAAAGGTGAGTACCACTGTATCTGTTTCCTGGGAAGGCAGCAGGCCCAGAGAGGTATTGGGATTTACCGTAAGTTCGCAGACAGACTCAGTCTAACAAACCCCTGACCCTGCACACTGCCTCAGAAGTAAATGTGGTGACAAGGTATGTGAAACCCACGGGGTTGGGGCTGAGAGGCAGGGAAGCTGAAACAAAAAGGGAAACCAGGGGAGTCTGCCTTCTGTGCCCTTCACAGCCCCAAGATTAAGTGCCCATGCTGGGAGCAAGTCTACTAGAAGCCAAGCTGTTTGTCGTAAGAGTTTTTACATTTAAGAACTCAAGAGTTTTTCAGACAAGACGCAGACAGGCTCACTGTCCAAATGCACTTAAGTAACAAGTGGCAATTTAAACCAGGGCATTCTGGCTCTGTGGTCGAGGTGCCAAGATGGGTGGTAATCAGCCCAGGGTCACACAGCCAGAGACCCAGAGCTAAGAGATACTGGCTCCCTCCAGCCCATGAAAAAGCAACGACGCCTCAGTCCTACCCAGCTGGGGGCGGAGCAGAGGTGGAGCCAGGGAGACCCAGGTGGCTCTGAGAACCACAGCACAGGTGGCAGAGTGGCCCGGAGCAGCATGAAGCAGAGCTGGGGACCAGGGATGCTCGTCCTGGGAGTACTAGTCCTAGAGGGTAAGCCGTCCGTGCGGTGTGCGTGGCAGCGGTACTGTGGAGGTTCACAAGCTTCCCTCTGCGCCTCCAGCCCCTGCACTTCGGTGTGTGCATATGGTCCTGCCTGTGGCAATGCCTGTGCCCAGCTGCATGTGTGTGTATGGGCAGGGGAGCATATATGGCCACCTGCATCAAAATAAGTGGGTGTGATTTTCTCGGGCCAAGTTAGTGTCTGTAGGGACTGTCACTGTGCCTGTGTGTGTTCCTTGCACCCTGACTGCCTCTCTGCTTCCAGAATGACCTCAGGTACCCTTGTACCCCATCTTTTCTCTGTCACATCTTGGCTCTCCCGCTGCAGATGTCCAATGGGCCTATCTGTGTACACCTGTTATGGGGAAGAAGGCAGGAACCCTTTGGTAGGATCCCTGGCAGCTTGTGGGAAAATGGAGTCTGAGTCTGAGTTGTTAGGATAGGGGTGCATCACTTCTGAGGCCCTTTCCCACTCGAACAGGATGAAGGCTTCTAATCCTTCCACTTGGCTGAAGGGACAATTAAGCTAATGCTTTCCACGTATATAGGCCACCTCCCTGACTCAGCGGTGGGGGTAGAAGTAGGGGTTCTGAAGCCTGGAGGAGGGTTGGCCTGGTCCCAAATGAACCCAAGGCCCTGCTCCTCAGGCCCAAGAATGCTGAGCACAGCAGAGGGAGGAAAATTAATTACCGAGGGTGTACTCTGAATGGATTCCAATAAAAGCTACTTCTCAACCTCATATATTTTCATTTTGGGAGGGGCTGGTGAGGTATGCAGAGTCACAGGCAAAAGTGCAAGGCTCACCCCAGCCTACCTTCTCCATCAAACCTGCGTCTAGCAGGTAGTATCCGATTCTTACTGCGTCTCTTTTTTCCTAGGTCTTCAAGCAGCTCAGCGTGGTAAGCTCCGAGAAAAGCTCTGGGGACTTGGGTCTGGGTTAGGCCTGGGGTGGAGCAGGACAAGGGTCTGCTGCCAGTATGACCTGCCCCTCTCCACAGCTTGTGGACAGCGTGGACCTGGCCCCCCCGAGCCTCAGGAGGGCAACACAGTACCTGGCGAGTGGCCCTGGCAAGCCAGCGTGCGGAGGCAGGGAGTCCACATCTGCAGCGGCTCCCTGGTAGCAGACACCTGGGTCCTCACTGCCGCCCACTGCTTTGAAAAGTGAGTCATGGTGGGGTCAGACAGGTCTCTGGCTTTGGAGATGGATTATTTGTACCTAAATTCCATGAGATTGATCCTTACCCCTAGAATAAAGTATCATTTATTAAAAGTTTGCCCTGTGCCAGGGTGTATATTATCAAGTTAATCTTAACCTTTCATGGCAGCTTTACAAATGAATAAACAGGTTGAGAAACGGGAAGGACTGTGCTTAAAATGGTAGGTCACCATCTGTTGGTCTTCCGGCTGCCTGTGCCATCTCCTGGGGTGTCACCGTCTCCTCTGCACCCAACTGTCAGCCTTTCCTTCCCATTCCAGGGCAGCTGCAACAGAACTGAATACCTGGTCCATTGTTCTGGGTTCTCTGCAGCGTGAGGGGCTGAGTCCTGGGGCTGAGGAGGTGGGGGTAGCTGCCCTGCAGTTACCCAGGGCCTTTAACCACTACAGCCAGGGCTCAGACCTGGCCCTGTTACGGCTTGCCCACCCCACGACCCGCACACCCCTCTGCCTGCCCCAGACTGCCCATCATTTCCCCTTTGGAGCCTCTTGCTGGGCCACTGGTTGGGATCAAGATACCGGTGATGGTAAGTGCAGTCCTAGACTTAACCCCCGAGTGGTACTGTGCTCACCCAAGGTACAGTTTCAGCTTCCAACTGTCCCAGCCCCTAATCCCCCTTGCCTGTCAAAACCAACACTCCAGGGCTCGGAATTTGGCTCAGTGGTTCCACCACCTGCCTCGCAAGTGCAAGGGCCCTAGTTCAATCCTCAGTACCCCCCAAAAAACAAAAACCAACACTCCAGCCTCGGCCTCATCCCTTTGGCAGCTCCCAGGACCCTCCGGAACCTGCGCCTTCGTCTAATCAGCCGCCCCACATGTAACTGTCTCTACAACCGGCTGCACCAGCGTCCGCTGGCCAGCCCAGCCCAGCCCGGGATGCTGTGTGGGGGTGCCCAGCCTGGGGTACAGGGACCCTGCCAGGTCTGAGGGGGAGGAGAGGGGAAGGGAGAAGGGGAGGCCTAGCCTTCAGCTGGGGGCTCAAACCACAGAGAAGGGTGGAAGGACTATAATCGGGTATATGCTCAGGCCAGGGGCTCAGGTGTCTTCTTGGCTCCGCTGCCTGGCTCCAGGGAGATTCTGGGGGCCCTGTGCTGTGCCAAGAGCCCAGTGGATACTGGGTTCAGGCTGGGATCATCAGCTTCGCCTCAAGATGTGCCCAGGAAGATACTCCTGTGCTCCTGACCGACACAGCTGCTCACAGCTCCTGGCTGCAGGCTCGAGCTCAGGGAGCAGCCTTTCTGGCCCAGAACGCAGGGACCCTGGAGACCAGTGATGAGGACAGCTGTGTAGGTATGAGCAGAGGGTGTGGGAACCAGATATGTGGGGTTGCCCAGGCCTACGTGAGGACCTCTGGGAAGTGGGTGGGAGCCACAGTCAAGCAAACTTCAGAATAAAGAATTGATACAGGGGCCGGGAATTCAGTTCAGTGATGCCACCGTTTGCCTCACATGTGCAAGGTCCCGAGTTCAATCCCCAGTACCAAAAAAATAACTGATACAGGGTATCCACACATTGCCAAGGGCTAAGGCGGGCTTTTAGATGCTGTCCTAGACTTAGTCCCGAGAGGTACTATGGCTGTCCAGGGCTCAGTCTCAGCTCTCAACTGTCCCAGCCCCCAGTTCTCTTGCCTCCCAGAGCCAAGACTCCAGCCTCAGCTCACACAGTCCTCTGCCAGCCCTGTTTTAGCCCCTGGCAAGGGAACAGCCCTATTAGGGCTGAGAGACATAGATGCTTTGCAGCTTTATGGGTTTGGAGTTTAGGAAAGAGGGATCTCTGAGATATGAAGGGTTTTGTTGTTGTTGTTGTTGTTTTGGTACCAGGGATCAATCTCCGGTCCTTGCACTTGAGAGGCAGATGGCGGAACCACTGAGCTAAATCCCTGGCCATTGAAGGTTTTTATTTTTGTTTGGTTGTTGGTTTGAGACAGGGTCCAGGTTGGCTTTGAACTCATGGTGATCCTCCTGCCTCAGCCTCCCAAGTGCCGGGATTACAGGTGTGCACTGCCTCACCTGGCTGGTTGAAGGTTCTCTAAAGCAGCAGCAAGCCTCCAGGCAGGAACCCAGCAAGATCAAACAGGCAGGACTCAGAGTCCTGGCATGAAGCAACCAACATGCAAACTATATGCAAACTTGTGCCTGGGAAGGAAGGGATGCCTTTTCGCCTTTTTTTTTTTTTTTTTTTTT